GTACATGAATAATGCATTTATTCCCCATAAAAGCAAAAAATGTTAATTTTAAGAACAAGGGATCTCTATTTCACTTCATTGAACCAGACCACAATGAAATATTTTGAAAGTCTTAGCGGATCATTCACAAAAATTTCAGAACTTACCTACACTAGCCTTTATATTGCCACTGAAACTGCATTTGTTCTCAAGAGCCCATGAAGTTTTTAAAAAAAACCTGTGTAACGATCCCAAATAAAGGGCATCTCACTTTAAGAACACAGGCTAAAAATCTAATAGAAATCCTTCATATAAGCTGCAGACTCCTCTCCCCATGCGCCGAACAGGCTTGGCACGGCGTCCAGGCATGGCCAGCTCTCTGCTGGGGGCAACGTTCTTGGCTGTGAAGGCAGAGCATGCCCTCTGTCACTCATGGCGAGCAGTCCTGTCCAACTGTCTCTTTTCGACAACTTTATCATCAATCTCTTTATTAACAGCTCCACTGCAGACTGAGAACGCAAACAAGGACAATGCGCATGCCAGATTTCTGGAAGGCACACAGCATCACACACCACACAGGGCAAGGCTTCAGTAAAGCTGAAGCAGAAGCTGTAGCGCAAAACTCTCACGTGCTGTTTTAAGAAGTATCATGCTCGTTATATTTACGTACAATCAAACTTCTAATTGGGGAGAGGCATCAAACATCAAGGATTTCTCCCCCCTCCCTCCGGTTTTGTTTTAATGCCATTTGAAATGCCCAATCAATGAAGGGTACGTGACCTAACATTCCATTCAACTTTAATAATTCTATCTACTTTAGGTTAGCGTATTACCCTAACTGAAGCAAAGGTCACAGAAATAATCTTAGATGAATTGAAAAGTTTGTATTGATGTATAGATTTTAAGCATGTAAAACATTTACTTAAGTAGCCTTATTAAGGAAATTTACTTCTAAGAATACAAACATAAAATGCATTCATGAAGTAGATGCGCTAGCTTGCAAGTAAGACAGACAAAAAGACATTTGCACTTGTAAGCTGTCCAGTATCTGCGTGGGCCACAGTTATTATGGGGCAGTTTAAATGCATTGGCTATTTTGTTAAGTTAAATAAATAAATGCAGCTTTACTCTACCCAATAAGTTGGAGTTTTTATCACCTTACATCAATAGTAATTTTCCTCTCTGTCCTTTCCTATTACTTGCCTGGATTCTGGCTCTTATTTAAAGACAGTAATTTACTGCAAAAACCAAGCTTGATAATATCTGCATATATCATTAAACAGTTTTTTTCCAACCATTAGTATGCTGTTAAAATTTGACTTCTTCTAAATTCAGTATCTTTAGAGTTTATGAGACAAAAATTATTAATGAAGTGTGTATAACATTGTCATTCTTAGTTTATTTTAAACATTCCACTAGAATACAGAGATCATAAAAATACTGAGGTCATTAAAAACAGACATGCTGAATAGGAACTGTGATCTGGTGAATTCATTAAAGTGTGGGAGGAAGAAAAAAAAAAGGTTACCTAAAGATAGCATTCCAGAATTTAGTCGGAACAATACAAATATGCCTAAACTTTATTAAAAAAACATTAGAGTTTAAATATCCAAAAAGCAGATGGGACATCCAGCAGTGGTTCATCGTATTATCTTTTCCATAATAAAACATGCCCTCTGAAGTTTGATATCAAAGTTTGCATTCTTTTGGTGATGATAGCAGCAGATGTTTGATGTTTGCAGAAATTTCAAATTATTAGTTTGAACTTTGTAGACGTATCAAACTGCATCTGCCTCTATCAACAAACCCAAGATGCTTTGTTTCTATTGAACAGATCCTTAATTCTACTAAGATTATTAAAGTAAACTAAAAATGGTTTATTACTGACTTTTTCCACATACGAACATTGAATCTTTAAAAAAAGCAAACCTACCAAATACTCTGCCTGTATACATACATCAGCTTTCGTGAGCGTACTATCAAGACTTGCACATTTTTAAGTGACAAAATTTTTGGTAAGTATTAAGCTACAATGATGCTGAAGAGAGATTAAGCATAGCAAAGCTACCTGACTAGTGTGTTAATAAAGTTACATAAAGGATGCCAGGATCACTTCAACACACGAAACGCCTTTTGTACAAATGCACACAACTTCTAAGAAAATATGTATTATGACAAAATAAACATACTCTGCTTCCTCAGTAATTACCACAGTAGTTTTTCTTGCATTTAAGTATAGAATAGAATCGTTTAGGTTGGAAAAGACCTTTAAGATCATCCAGTCCAACCATTAACCTACACTACCAAGTCTACTCTAAGCCAATCAAGGGTAGATTAGACTAAACCATGTCCCGAAGTGCCACATCTACCCGTTTTTTGAACACAAAATTCTGGCTCAGTAATACCTAGTGTGTCCTTACTATACTGAATTATTTTTGGTTATTCTAGAAGCTGAACAACTCAGTTTTAACTTTTATTGTTGATTAAAATTGGTCTTCTCATTAATGTACATTTACTACCAATTGATACTCATTACTAGTCAGTTACTACACACTTGTAGCTACAAGTTCAAAGATTTTGCAGTTTTAAAAAAAGAAAGAAATGCACTAAGAAATGGCACGCACACATACTACCTACAGCAAGGAAGCACAACTTTAGCTAGAACTCATCAACTCAAATGTCTGATTCAAATCAGTATGTCTAAAGCCATCTGTTAGAACCGTGGCTTATTAATGTTAATTATTTTGGCTACAACAGTAATTTTCAGCTTCTTGTTTGCCATGAACTTACTTCTGGAGGTACATGATGGGTAACTCGGAAAAACAAGCCTATTGAAGCCTATCACCAGTAGACTGAGAAACACTGAACAGAAATTTGTATATCTACTAGCAGATTTTTATTGGTCGGAGAAAATAAAAGAGGAATTAAAGCCATAAATAACATCAGCTGTGATGAAAGGGAGACAGGGTGGGCAAGATATAAAGATGATGAATCTGTTCTGAACAAGACAAGCAGTTGCATGCTGTGAAAAATATATGCAACACAAAGGTTTATTGTTTTAGGCAGGATAATTATAATATGAAGACCATAATCATCAGTGGTTTTAGCAGTTAAAGAAATTTTAGTCAAAAGGAGGCTACTTAAAGTTACTCACATCAAGCATTTGGAGGATTGGGCTCATGCTGATACAAAGATCAATCAAGTGATGCACAGCTACTTGTAATTTTTACTTTTATTTCAAGGCAAGCTTAAACTATTTGACAAGAAGAGAAATAGTGCCATCTGCTGACATAAGAAATAGTCACTTGAGAGAAAAGCAAGTGTATATGCCAAACTGTTACAGCTATGTTTTTAAAAAATAGCATTCAAACTTTTAAAGAAAATAGTATAGCCCCAAATTGTTTATGCACACATTTCTTCTAGTTTTGTCAGCTTTTAAGAATTTAAGCTTTTGAGATGGACTCCTAATCAGGAGACAAGGAATGGATGCTCTTAATTTTTTTTTTTTTGGTGGTGTTTTTTTGTTGGTTTGGTTGGTTGGTTTTGAGGGCGGGGAGAACAACAGGGACAGAAAACAATAAACACTGCCCCCACCAAGCCACTGCACAATCCACAACCTCTTCCTGTAACAGACTAGAACTCAACATCCTGCTGAGTGTTACTTCCACTTCCTATATCTAACATCACGCTTATTTATCGAACATTCATTCAGGTACTATCTCTTTTAGCCATACTGTATTTTGTCTTAGCAGTATGAATTAAGAGAGTCAAATCAATTTTGTACATTCAGAAAAATCAGACAACTATGGGATTGTGCTGTTTTTTATTGTGTTTTCAATGGAGAAATACATCATCTGTTTACAAAATAGCTCTTGAAAAATACAAGGAGTACAGATACTATAAAACAAAGCAAACTCCAGTCATGAGACACTACGTACATCATGCGAAAGCAACAGTCTGATCTCCAGGTTATGAAAACTAGAATTAAAAAGTCACTATACAGAAAGGTTCCAAGTTTCCAGCTTGGCAAAACTTGGGTGCAGTTAACATGAAACGTTTAATAAAATGAAAAAGATTTTCCGATGTGTAAACAAAATGACAAGACTAAATTTGTGCCTGGCAATTTCGATCTAAACTCCATAGCTACACAAAATACACAGACACCTTGTACACTTCAACTGTTAATATAACCTTCTTTGGGGGGTGGACGACAGCAGGCTGCACAGGGCAAGGAAAAGAGAAATATTGTATACTAGACATCTTAGACAAATGGCAAAAAAAACCCTTCAGTTACTGCACAGCCTAAGTAAAAGATAAGCTACACTCTGACTTTGGAGAATTAATTTAGAAGGATAAGGGGAAGAGTGTAAGTAATTTAATTTTAACATGAAAGATGCACGTGTAATAGGATGGAGCACAATGGGAGAAGGGAGTTCATAAAACATGCTAATCAAAGTATGGGAAGTATGATTTGACATCCCACATATTTCAGAACTAAGTAATAGTAACATGAAGTTTGTTATCTACATCTGTTATTACTGTTGGTATCCCTCATGTTCCTCAAATACTGCTGTTCTTTGCCATGAGAGATTCAGTTCTTTCAAAAGAAAAAGTTGTTGCTTGTCTTTTTTGATAGGACTACAAGAACAAAAAATAGGAGTAAGAGAGCTTACTAGATGTCAAGTGCTTACTAGAAATATGATTTTTAAAAATTCAATGTTGTTCAGTATGTAAAACTATTTCTGATGAGCCATCTAAAAATAAAAATGTTAAAATTCTTAGGGAAAAATCTTTTTGCCTTTATTTAAAATTTGAAGCTTTTTAACGCATACAGGACTTTTATGGAGTGTACAAAAATCATCTTATATTTAGTGATTCAAAGGCCATCAAGACAGGTGTTGTATTTCACAGGCACACAATATTTACTTAAACACTTTAGTCATGGGACAAAATTTTGAATTTGTGCCTACAGGCCACAAGGTATTATGATTAGGTAAGGAGCAGGGGGGAACCCCAATGAGGGTCTGGCTTGTTTTTATTTTGTATAAATAACTACTGTCCTATATGGTGCATACAAGCTTTAAAAAAAAAAAAAAAAAAACACCAAAAAAAAAAAACCAAAAACCCACAAAAAAAAACCAACCCCACCAAACAACCCCAATATTAAACGCAAAAGCTTTTCCCAAGAAATAAAAGGATCAAAAAGGGAATAAAGGAGTTTGATTAGTTGAAAAGAAAGTTTATTTACTGTTTGACTGCTGATCTGTATGCACCTTAAAACAATCCTATAAATAAAAGTAGACCACATCTTAATCATGTCCCACCAATACCAAAACTTCCCAATTACTTCCTCAACATATGTCTTATAACCTCAAGATTTGACATTTCATTTTAAAGGCTTACTGCTGCTTGATGGCAGTTGAACTAGATACACTACACACTTTGTTTTCAATGTATAGTGTATCATAGAATGTCATCTAATTTGCAGATTACTACTATTGAAGAGATTCTTCAATAAAACAAAAGTGTACCAGCTGAAGATCTAAAATTAGTCATACTCCAATAAAAAAAAAGTACATAAAAGTGCATTTAAGGGATTCTTATGCCAGTTTTATCTCAATTTTGAAACAATGCATCAAACAAATTCAATCAGAATGTCAAATATGGCTACAAATAGTGTTCATGTTTTTAAAGGCAGTAATCCTTTGAAATATTTAATGCAACTGTTGCTAACACATTAATTGTACTCCTGGCTTCACATACTAACCTGGACTTCCGATCAAGTGGTGATTTTAGCCCAGAAAGGGAAGTGCACAAAATATACCTAAATCCGTTTGTGATCATGTTCTAGTCTTGCACCCTCCGTTCTCCTTTTTTTTCTAGCATTAGAAGACGACAGGTTGAGTTGGCAGATACTGTTTATGGACCCCTGAGGTTGTTTTTACCGGTTCAATCTCAATTTTATTGAATTCTTGATAACAGGAATAGGATTTGCAGGGAGAGCAGGGATATCTGAAAGGTCTGTACTGGGTGTTTTCTGAAAAGAAAAGAAGAAGTTTGGTTGTATTTTCACTTTGTAAATATCAAAAGAAAAATATTATAGTAATTGGCACTAACTTTCAAAACCAAGATCTTTAGAAGTGTTTTTAAAAATATAGCAAGATGAGGATAATTAGAAATTATAAATAGAGAAGCAGATATGTCCTTTGCCTACACAGTCATTATTAAGGAAAATTTGTGTCTCTTTCACACTATGCATTTCCTTTGTTGACAACTGCAACAAATTAGGAAATGCTGCAGATAAAGCTGAGCTTACTAGTAACCTGTATTATAATACAACATAATATCCACATAATAAGGGTGCTTGATTGCTGATATCTGCTATCTACTCTACATGTTTAGTATTTAGAAATTCCTTTGAACAATTCGGTGTTAAGCCTCAGCCCCTTACAGACAAATGATGGAAAACTGTCCCCAGTGTAAGTATGTGTCTTCACAGATTTATATTTCAGACTGTTTAAAAGCTCTTTGCAGCCAAACTTCCAACTTTTCATAATGGTTTATATTTACATGAAAAATATATGATGAACTCTGAAACAGGGCTACATGACTGCGTTAAGAATTTCACCTTGAAAATAATCTGAACACTTTTTTCTCACTTAAAAGGCTTAAATCCCACAGAGCAAAATTATATCTAAAGCCAAATAAAGGAAAACACAGAAAAGGAACAATCTCAAGATTCAGTGTGGTTCATTAATTTCTCACATGCTTAACAAGCCTCTACTGTTTTTTGTTTGTTTTTTTGTTTTGTTGTTGTTGGGGTGGTGTGTGTGGTTTTTTTCTTTTTTTTTTAGATTTTGAAGTATTTCTCTTCCACTTTGGCAGATTATTTGACACCACAATAAGCCAGTTACTATGCATTACTTGCCATGATTTATCAGAAAATGTTTTCTTATGTTATAAACATTCAAAATTAATATAAGATGGGAAAAGCTGTATGAAAATGACTGCTCTTAATTGTTGTTTTATTAAAAAGAAATCAACCGAGTTAACACTGACTGATACAGTAGCAAAGCACAATGCAACGACTCGGGGCAAAATAGCTTTGACCTCCCACCTTCCCCCTGCCCCAGTAGCCCATGCTGGTTGGTGCTGACCTGTGGTTTAACATGTTTCTATTTTCTGCAACATGAGCAGTGTTTTAAACAAAGCCAACGAGAATACTGAAAAATAGACAGAAGAGGCCCGCCATCCTTTGGCAGTTTCCAGATTACTTTTGCTAAAGTAACAGCTACTCAATTTGTAAAAGCTACAAAGCTTTATATAATCACCCCTCAACAACAGGTGAAATAAACTTGGTGTACTATATGATCTAAAAACGTCCCTGAAGCAGTTCAGAGTACGCATGTAACATCTACAGTTTTTGCCAAACAATTTTGGTACCTTTATTCAGTACTGCTCATACAGTTCAAAAAGCGCAATAACAAATACCATTAACACTACTGCAATATATCGCCATTTTCAATCAATACATTTACTACACATCATTTAATGAGTAAAGTGTGCATAAAACGCTTTGTGAGAGTGAAACTTTAATCAGTAGAGCACTAAGAGAAGCTTAAAAATGGTAGGAAAGACAAAGATGTGTTCTCTAAAAGTTGTTACAATATTAGGAACAAAAAATTTAGAGTGAATGCCACAGAATTCTTAACTTAATATCTATTTTTCCAATGTTCCTTACACTTACAATACCTGCAGTGAAGCAACACAGCTGGCTAATGAATTTTAAGATTATAACTTCTCTCTCTCTCATACCAAATATCAGAATCTGAAGTTACATTTCAGACGTTCTCAACCTCTACCAGAACATCTTTGAGCAGCAGCTATTTAAAGCATTTGTTTCCTTGTTAGCAAGGATTATTCTGTGATGTGCAAAGCACAAAGGAATAAACTGAGCCCCTTACTTTGAAGGCACAATTCAGAAGAGCGAATCCAGCTTCGGTCAGTTTGTATGGCAAGCCATACATGTTTAGCTACAATGCACATTCAATAAGATCAATGACCATCTAAAACACAAAAATTGTGACAGTAACAACAAGCAGCTTTCCATACAATGGATTTATATTAAAAATTATACATTTATTTTTAACATCTGGACTCATTTTAATTTCAATGTTTTCACCACAGATTAGCACACACACACAGAGAAGTGTTGTTTTTAAAAACAATACCTGAGGAGCTTGCAGAGAAGTTGTCTGAAGAGTTTCTGTTTGAGAATTAACATTCACTTCTGTCTCAAGTTGCTCCTAAAAAATCAAAAGCATCAACATAGTTACACCACTTCCAGTTATAAAAGCTATTTATACAGAACTCCATTAACTAGAATGCCTTAAGTTGCACATATACAGCAAAAGAAAAAAGACAAGTATCAGTACTTGATGCATTGATACCCATCCTTTTAGAATGCAGAAATCACCACACTAGAGAATGTTTTGCTGATTAAGAATTTGACATCAACACAAGCTACATCACTTCTCAGTTGTCACTTGTTTAACCACTTAATGCCTTTTATACAGAATCCTATAGGAAAACATTACATCTCATTGAACTCATTAAAGACAAGAAGTGTAGTATCAAGGAAGACCACGTGAAAAGCTACTGAATTTGTTGCCAATTCAAGTGCTTTTCCACTCCTTTCACCATTCTGCCAGAGAAGTTTTCCTGCTACTTTAATGGGTTGAATCAGCTTTCTGGATAAACAGATGAATGTCAAAGTCAGTTTTTCAGGTAAAACAGTGGGACTGCATGGCTAAAGCAGGACAGTGGCACATTCTCATTTTTAATGAAAACAGCCTGTTAGTTAAAATTGTACCATTTAGTAAACAATACCCTAACAAAAAGGCATGCATTTCAATGGACAAAAATCTATGTTTATGTTAAAGAAGTTCATTTCTCCATCTCCTTCCATGCATATTAAGGACATAAGATTTAGAGGAGACTGACAATAAAAGCTAACGGGATTACCTATGTCTTTTATTATTATCTGTATCCAGAGGATCTATTTTCAATGTTAGGATTAAATGCTTACATGTATTTCTGCCTTCACCTGTCTTGAGTTCTAAGAGATTTCAAGGTGACTACATAACAAGATACAATTCCTCACTTAAGGGTGTGGAAACTATGAACCAAAGCACTTAAAACACTTTCATTAATTTCTCAGCATATTTTCCAAAGACAACAGAACATGCCCTATAAAAACTTTGTACACCCAAGCGGAGAGCTGCTATCGTTAATGCTAAAGACAGTCACCCTATCTGTTCACCAATAAGCAGAAAAATTGTCTGCTAAATTACAAGATACTGGAGGGACATGCTTGAATCTCTGGAAGTCCCCCAAAAGGTATGCTGTAACTTCATACAATAATTTCACTATCAGAAAAGATTTATTTACCATCATTTGAAATTTTTTTTATCTAAAAAGTGAACAAGGTAGCACCTGGCTTTGGGATTCTCAGCCCAACATGCAAAAATCCCAATGAAATAATTAAAGAACAGCTGTCCTATCTAAGCAACATACACGAAGTTCGGGATGCAGGCAAAGGAAGGCTTATAGACACATCCCTGATCTGATTTTAAAAATTTAAATATCACCATTAATTTTTTCCACTATCCATAATACTGCATGAGTGATCAGCAAAGAAATCACTGTCCTATGTGACCATGAATTCAGGCTCAGCTTGGCCTGGCAGTGGGTAATGTACCGCAATTCATTAATATTGACATATATATTGAAAAATAACATTTCATTTTGATATCTTTACTGTAGACTCTATAGTATATCTACAAACACTCTTAATCATTCCTAGAGGGAAACACAGTACTTTTCACAAGGAAGAGTCCCAATTAATATACATGAAATTGTATGGTCTAAGCATAGATACCTTAGTTTCCATTTTTTCATGCTCATTCAAATCTATACAGCTAGTATCTTCACTGATTTCAACCTGCTTAAATGCAAACAAACCCAGAAACTATTAAAAATCATAAAAACATTTTAAAAAAATCAACAAGAAAAATAAGGTCGTAAAGTCTTTCTGAAGACAAATTTAACTGTAAGACTTAACATGTTATACTCTAACAAAAAATTACTTTTAAGACAAGAATTTAGAATCTAAGCATTTGTGCTAATGCAGTACATGTGTCACGTGACGAATATCAGCATAATAAAAAAACCAGTAACCCCTAAGCAAGCTGAATACATAAAGCAGCAATGTAATCAGAGTAGGAAATATACAACCCATTTAACGAAATATTTGAAACCTGGAATATGAGAATCAGCACTTTGCAGCTGAAATTAATATTCAAAGTTTTGGACATTGCTATGGTATGATCTCAAAAATCTCAAATACCTCTTCAATTTTCATTTTCTTGGGAGACTCTTCTTTATGGGGAGAAGATGTCCTTTTCACTGCTGTGACAGGGCTAGGCATTTTTGTTGCAACATTTCCTGAAGTTCTTGGTGATGGATTTAATAGATACGCTGAGGAAACAATTCTAGAGATGGTAGGCTTTGGTGGTGGAGAAATGGCTGGTTGTGTGGCAGTTTGAGGAATGCTTTCATTTGAAGTACCTATGGATAAATAATTTAAAAAGCTTCAACAAGTTGACACAACCATTTCAGTTCAATCACTGGTATTTTCAGTCTCTATTCAAAACTACTGGTATCAAGCAGGCATCAAAGAAGTGGTACAGTTAGTGGTGATGTAAGCATCACGTTTGCAACAGCAGGTGTGCATACACAGCACAATTTAGTTTCAAGCTCATTCCGAGAAAGAATTCCTGTACCAGATACAGGGTAGCCATGTCAGTGACACTCTGTCTAATCAACCCTACTTAACAACAGGGTATACTAGCCCAGATAGAGCTCTGTGCGAATATAGCTGTATTATTCTTGGTACCTAAAGCAGTTTTACTGTTTCTGTACTCAGCCATATATATATGCTTTGCCAAAGACTGCCTTAAATCAAATCCAAGAGCATTCTGATGCTCCCTTTGTCACTCAAACATGAAGTTTATCGTTTCTCAGGCTCAGAGTACACAATGACAGATATGAAGTCATCACAGAGCATCAGATAAAGATCTGACATTCCATACATCCTTTTGAAAAATGCTCCATATGACAAAGCTCTACCTCATCAATTGCCTACCTCAAACCAATAAGCACACATAGGGAGATGCTCCAGGATAAGAAAAACTACACTAAGGAAATTTTTCATTAATAACTATCAGGTGACTGCTTTTGATTAACCAAAATACAAGAATGAACAACTTCTGAATGCTTCCAAATCCAAAAAACAGTCATGCCATTTAAGCTCCACTTAGTGCTCATGGACAAACTTACTCATATTGATGCACCTGACGATAAAAATGAGAGAACAGTAAGACTCCACTGTCCCACATGTCAGAGTGAAATAAGGGAGATCTTGTCTTGAAAGGCTAACCAGTTGGTCCCCTTTTCCATCTATTTTTGACTTGCTCCTTGTATACAGCTAAAGTTCCATCAAAAAAGAGAGGAGTAGCTGACCCTGCTAAGTGAACATTTTCACCAGATACCTTTGTTCTTTCATTAAAAAGTCAATTTAAAAAACCAAAAATTTAAACGAAGTGTACTTTTTCTTGTAGAAAATATGGAGGATAAAGTCAGCACACACAGTGGGACATATCTCAAAAGATGTCAGTAAGGAACATGTGTTCTGCTCACATCTGAGTCTTTTTCATTCCTAGAATCAATTTTGTGAAGCATAAGGAGCAGGAACACGGGAACACAGATTGCAGACAGTACAGAACCACCTCTTGGGTTTAACTACAAAATGGATTAAAAATAAATACAAAAATTGCTCTTCCAGCTTTAAATAGTTTTTCCTCATTTGGCCAACTGAATTACAGATCTGTATCAGGTTATCGGAAAACTATTACTATTGTGAATGGAGAATATAAATCCCTAAGAATAAACAAACATTGCGGCACAAAATATTCTGCCATGATCTCCTCAGTCCTAAAGAAATTAGTTAAATCTGTATATCAAGGAGAACATGTTACAACATGTGTTAAGTAAAGACCTCAAACTGGAAGAAAAATTGCTTTATACATATTACTAAAAAAAAGATCAATAGAAACAATATACTATGCCATTTTCCTTACCCCCTGAGCTTTCACTGGAATTTATTTGTGGCACAGTGACTTCAGAAGCCTGTATGTTGGTCACAGATGCTGCTGTTACAGCGGGCGCAGGACTGCTTCTGCTAAAAAGAGAAAAATGACAAAATGCTGAACATTAGTAAAGCTATCATGCTATATGATTCACCTTTCATCACACCACAATGCACAGCCAGTAACCACAGCTGATAGCATTTTACCTACATTATAGAGCAGAACTTAGACTGCTATGTCACAGTAGGAAGACAGAAATGATCATTAGCAATCTACTATCAAACTTGAGCAACGGAAGTCATTTCAAATACTTAATCTGGATCACTTCAGAGACAGTTTTTTAGACCAGTAAGAAGTTGCATTAAAAAAAGGCAAAAATTAAGGCAATGCCTGCCCAAATAAGGCGCAGGGGAAAACATAGCAACTACTTTCCTGAAGGACGGAACAAAACCAGTGTAGAAGGACCAGAACAGAAAGTTTGTTTTCAATCTACACAGACCATTATGACTATGATTTCAGTCTGGACTTCCCAAGCAAAGGCCTGGGATTTCACATGACAAAAATGCTGCGGTTTTTATTTTCAAGAAATAGGGAAGCAATATGTGTCTAAAATCAACACAGGGCAATTTCCACTTCAAGTGTGACATCCTAGATATCATAGACTTGTTTTAATAGCATGGTCAGTGGCATCAACTATTGAAAATCATTTACCAAGGAAGACTAACCAAAAGAGTACTTGTCAAAAGGAGTAAGTTTAGCGAACTTAAGTCTTTTATCCTACACAACATCCTATAATATATATCTAATACTGCACAATTGTAGGAGATTGATGTTAACTTCTCTGTGTATCAAATAGACAAACATGAGACTCTTGAAAGAAGAGAGTAGAATCCCGTTTACTTGGGCAAATTGAAGTTTAGATAGGAAAAGACTTAAGACAGAAAGTTAGGATTAAGATAAACATTAATATGTACACTTTGAAAATACAATGGAAAATTATGTTCTTAAGCCTAATTTGCATAGATATCATCAGTAATAGCAGCACTACTGATTTCCCAAGAGAAAGCCTAAACTTCTCTACTGTCTCACATTTTGATCCAAAACTCACAGAACTCTTCCTCACTCTCACACCTCAATTTCCTGCTCACTACTTCTCACAGCTTCCTACTGCAGCGCCCCCAAGTTTTTATATCACCTTGTTCTTCTAAGCATCTTTACAATTCCTCACCTGAAGTCCAATGTCATGCTCCCTATCCCCCAAATTTAGCCCTGCTCTAGCACTCAAGCTGGAAATAAGAATGTCTGCAAACTCCAATTTGGAACATTCACACCTTGGTAACTGCCATATCTCACACAAGCAGTATTTGCTAAGCTTTTAACACAAGTAATTAAGGAACATAGAGCAGCAATAAGACTGAAAGTCTTCATTACCCCTGAGAACTTCCAGAACTGTTCAATGGACTCGTCTTCATAGCACTAGTAGGCGAAGGCACAGATGTGCTGTTATCACTGTCCATAGACAAGTCTAGGCTGCTGTCATTCAGAGCTGTCAACCTGATCCCTTCTGTCGAATGCTGCAATCCACAAGACAAAAGAAAATTATATTAGTCTTATTAAGGGCTTAAAAATCAATGCAAATTCAAATGATGTAATATTTCAGTTATGCAAAATGTTAGCTGTTACATTCACGAAGAAAAAAGAAACAAGACATGATTAACAGTGATGAGCTTCCACCACGATCTAAGCATGTACGTTGTGGTGGGTTGACCCTGGCTGGATGCCAAGTGCCCACCAAAGCCGCTCTATCACTCCCCTTCTCAACTGGATACGGAAGAGAAAATAACGAAAAAGCTCGTAGGTCAAGATAAGGACAGGGAGATCACTCAGCAATTACCATCACAGGAAAAACAGACTCGACTTGGGGAAAATCAGTTTAAGTTATTACCAGTCAAAACTGAGCAGGAGAGAGGAGTGAGAACTTGTGTACAGTAGTAAGAAATAAAACCAAATCTGAAAACACCTTCCCCCTACCCCTCCCTTCCTCCTGGGTTCAACTTCACTCCCCATTTTCTCTAACAAGTGGCACAGGGGGACAGGGAATGGGGGTTGCAGTCAGTTCATCACACGTTGCCTCTGCTGCTCCTTCCTCCTCAGGCAAAGGACTCCTCGCACTCTTCCCCTGCTCCAGCTTGGGGTCCCTTCCACAGGAGACAGTCCTCCATGAACTTCTCCAACACGGGTCCTTCCCACAGGCTGCAGCTCTTCACAAACTGCTCCAGCGTGGGTCCCTTCCACGGGGTGCAGTCCTTCAGGAGAAGACTGCTCCAGCATGGGGTCACAAGTCCTGCCAGCAAACCTGCTCCAGTGTGGGCTCCTCTCTCCCCATGGGGCCACAGGTCCTGCCAGGAGCCTGCTCCAGTGTGGGCTTCCCACAGGGTCACAGCCTCCTTCAGGGCACACCCACCTGCTCTGGCGTGGGGTCCTCCCTGGGCTGCAGGTGGATATCTGCTCCACCATGGACCTCCCTGGGCTGCAGGGGCACAGCTGCCTCACCATGGTCTGCACCAGGGGCTGCAGGAGAATCCCTGCTCTGATGCCTGAAGCACCTCCTCCCCCTCCTTCTTCACTGACCTCAGTGTCTGCATGGTCATCCCTCTCACATATTCTCACTCCTCACTCCAGCTCCAACTGCTGTTGCACAGCAACTTTTTTCCCTTCTTAAATTATGCTATCACAGAGGCACTACCACTATCGCTGACTGGCTCGGCCTTGGCCAGTGGCGGGGGCGCTGTGTGGTGTGGCGCTGGC